TAATATATAATTAATTACTAATATAAATTAATATATAACTATTTAATAATATAATTATAATAAAAATAGTAAAAAGAATAGTTAAATATTCTAAACACAGAAAGTATGGCAAACATGGTAAACATAATAAACGTAGCAAATATAGTACATATGCCAAATAAAATATAATAAATATAGTAAATGGAGTAAATATAATGAAACCAATAAATATAACGAATACAGTAACTATAGCAAACCTAGTAAAGAAGGTAAATGCAACAAATATTATGGCAAAAATTTAAATAAATTTCAATAAATTCCAAGAATACTAATAAATATTACTCCTAATTGTGTAGGTGTAATTTTATCGTTCAAATATAGTGAATACAGTAAATATAGTAAATTTAGTAAAGATAGTAAATGTAACAAATATTATAGCAAAAATTTAAACAAATAAATTTCAATAAATTCCAAGAATACTAATAAATACTACTCCCAATTGTGTAGGTGTAATTTTATCGTTCAAATATAGTGAATACAGTAAATATAGTAAATTTAGTAAAGATAGTAAATGTAACAAATATTATAGCAAAAATTTAAACAAATAAATTTCAATAAATTCCAAGAATACTAATAAATACTACTCCCAATTGTGTAGGTGTAATTTTATCGTTCAAATATAGCGAATACAATAAATATAGTAAATTTAATAAAGATAGTAAATGTAACAAATATTATGGCAAAAATTTAAATAAATTTCAATAAATTCCAAGAATACTAATAAATATTATTCCGAATTGTGTAGGTGTAATTTTATCATTCAATTACCATTCGTACTTTTGTTACTCGTATCATTATAACAGAAACAAATACAACATTCTCTTTCTACCCTCATCATCAAACCCACATTATCCGCGTAATTCAAAGTCATTCAAATATGGTCATGTCCGGTATCTCCCTCGCCGCAAATATCTCGGCAATTTAACTAAAATATTTTCACGATTGTAAAGCGAGAAAAATACGAAAATTATTCTTATTTCGGCGACTCATTAGCAGCGTAGTCATCACCGATCAGGTATTACTGATAAAGCCGATACTCGCTTCGCAGTAGCAATTCCAGGAATTGGTGGTGATAACTCTGCGACGATTAAGTGGGCAAAAATACGACACTTAAGTACCCGCTACTGTACGTGCACGTTTCAACAGATAAATTTGCACATTGCGATCACATACGTGGGATGTTCCTATCGCTCCCAGCATATGCCAGTCCCTTTCGTGTACTGACATTTCCTATCGCCATTTTTTTTTTTTTGCATCCTAACGCTGAAATCTGTCCTCATAGTAACTAAATAGACGATTAAAGAAAAAGTGAATAAATCAAAAAGGAGTTTAAAATATTTCACTTGAAATTCATTTATATTGCTATAAATCTACCACTGATAATTTCGTGCTATCACAAGATGAGAGGTCATTGATGCATGGAATGTTGGTATATAGCAAATGATATAAGAAAGCATTTCATGTTTATAAACGATATCAGTTCGTGTTGATGTGGAAGTGAACTACGATGAGTGTGTGTGTGATGTGTGTATGTGTGTTTACACGAAGGTGCTTGTGTCATTGGAAAAATAGAATTTAGTAAATACTATTGGTACTATTAGTATTAAATTATCTATTCAGTACCAATATTTAATATATTATTAAAATATTTTTGGTAGGAATGTATGTATACTCATTCTATAGTTTACAAGTATTTTCTTATATACCTATACAATTTTATACTTATTTAAAATATTCTTATAGATATAAATGTATTTTCCTTCTTCCATAAACGTGATAAATTTTTTCACCAAAAATATTTTAATAATATATTAAATACTGATACTGAATAGATAATACCAATAGTATTTACAAAATTCTATTTTCTTTCTCTATTTTAGTTTTCTATCCAATAAGAAATAAATAAAATATAAAATTAAATGGAATAATCCTTTTCGTGAAACTATTCGATTATTTTCAAGCTTTAAATAAATTCCCAAATTTTGAATATATAATTTAGTACTAATAGTACCAATAGTATTTACAAAATTCTATTTTTTCTTTTCTATTTTAGTTTTCTATCCAATAAGAAATAAATAAAATACAAAATTAAATGGAATAATCCTTTTCGTGAAACTATTCGATTGTTTTCAAGCTTTAAATAAATTCCCAAATTTTGTCTCGTGCTAAACGTATTGAAATATTGAAATTAACACGTACCGAAGCAGACTTTGTAATTCAATACACGTATACCACTGTGTAATTTTAAGAAATAATAGACATCAAATACTGTCAGCAAATTGCCAGAACAAAGTAGCCATTAATTGGTGCTTCACGAGAGACTTTCAAAATTGATTGTCGTATGCTTCCCTTTACACGGATTATTTATTGTCATGTGGAAGTATTTATATTTGTATTTTACTATTTATACAGCGACTTCACTGACACGCTGCAATTCTTTATGTGCCTTATTGATCAAAGTCCGGAAACCACAAATTGCGATATGTCAAGTTGTCATACCTCTAATCAGTCGATGGCTCTGACCATTTCCGCTGCGTTTAAGGCTTTCATTCTACCAATTTGAAATATAATAAAACGTTTAACTAAAATAACATCAGAGATCGTGCATAACTTTAACGGATTTGATATTACTACATGTATTTTGAAATTTCGTAATACGATTCATGTTCAATTACATATTTCGCAAATATCAAAGAGAGGAAACTAAATCCTCTGAGGGATAATAATTCCCGATAATAACGATGAAATTATCAGCTTCCTTTAATATCCTTAGTAATGAAATATGATATATAAAAAAAAAAATAAAATTAAAATTCATGAAATGCTGCTCATTTAAAAGGATCGTTCAATTTACTGAGTATTATTATTGATAGAGACTACTTGTATATTTCAACGCTATGTAACAATTGTTTATGTATTAGTATAACATCAATGAAAAATTAATTAAATAAAATTAATTTTTCCTCTTTCGGAAAATACCATTCGATTTACTTAATACAGTAGCCCTCCTACAACACGGTATCCGATAACACGGTTTCACTATAACACGATTCATAAATTGCGGGAACCCCCTTATAACACGGCATCCTATAACACGGTTTCGCTCTAACACAATAAGAAAATGGCAAAAATTTTGTACACCACTGTACTTCTACACGAGCAATGACGACGAAGAAATTTTTTAAATTAAAATTGCGTTAAATTAAAATAATATTTTTGTTTATCTTTTGCTTTCTGTTGCACACACGTTTATATTTTTAATAAAAATTAAGTTGTTTATGTCGAATTAAAAAAAGAATTTGGTTTTAGTAAGCTTTCGAAACGTAACCCCCAATTTTGTACTGGTTCTGGGTCTTATACAACACGGTTTCACACAACACGGTTTCACACAACACGGCATTTTCTAGAAACCTATCTACCGTGTTATAGGAGGGTTACCTGTATAATTGTTATAAAATTAATAAACAGTGCAAATTATATAGCTATTATCCAGTATTTTGGGAATTTTATTTTTCGTATTGATTTATTTTAATTTTATTTTAATTTTACTGATTTATTTTATTTTAATTTTATTCTCTTAAAACAGTTTTAGTTTAAAGAAATGGTGAAACGTTAGTTAATATCAGAATAGGCAAATATAGAGGAATGTTCAGATAGCACTGTTTGCGTGCAATACGATTTCCCAGCTTCGGCAAGTTGAAACATTTTCATAATGCAAGATCTATCCATTTCCCCACAAGTCTGAATATCTCCTGCGTCTGCCTTGATGTTCAAAGTGAATTCGATATGACTGATTAACAATTTTATGAACCTCGATACATCTCTTTGTCATGAAGATGATGGACAAGGTTATTTAATCTCCTCTAAAGCCACATTTTCGATATCTCTTATTTCTTTGTAAATTTTTATTACATATTTCGAATGCTTTTACTTCCATGTTTAATGGATTAAATATTGGAAAAATTCCATTTTTACATGTAAATGAAAAGTCTGGAATTATATTTTCGAAATTTGTAGCAGTTATAAGTGAGAAAGGTTTGAAATATTTGTATTATTTCTTTAACGATAATTATAGAATTATATGAATATGAAGAACCAAAATGAAAAATTATAATATAAACAAATTAACACCCACGATTTATATTTTCCAATAACTTAATAAATTTTACTTCTTCAAGATAAGAAAATAATTTTGTTCTCTCAGCTAGATTTCTACTTCAATTTATTTGAAATTATGTTCATAAATAATATTAGTGTAATAATTTCAATATTTCATATTTTATTCAAATTAACTAATTATATATGTTTTAATAAATATGATTAAATTCAAACCTATGTTTCTCAATTGCTATACTTATTATATCTGTTATTAATTCAGATTATAGAAGTCATTTAATATCATCAAATGTATTGTTACTTTCATATTATTTGTATATGTATATGTATATGTATATATCTATATTTTCCTCTATTTAATACACATTTATATATTTTCCCTGATTTTTAATCTTTATGCTACGTATATGTAAAGAGAACTTACCTCGAGATAAATCCAGAGACGTGACTTTTCCCTCCAATAAAATGTCGTTTGAGCTACATTCGGATCTGGTGTCCCAAAATCTTATTCTCTGATCAAAATGGCCGCTGATTATCGTGGAGCCTGCCCCGTCAGATGTCACTAGGTCATTACAACTGGAGCCCGCGAATTTCGTTTCTATGCCTATAAACAAAATTTATCTTGCATCAAGTATTATATCAAGCAATATTTCGGAATTGAAATACTTGAAATGTTCACAAATAAATTTCAAAAATTATTTTAATATTCGTTAAAATAATTTCACACAAATAATTATTATACATTAATATTATCGATAAATGCGTTTTCATTAGACGAATACTTTTAATTCCTAAAGATTATATAATAAATATTTCTGTATTTGTAATTTCTTGGAAATTTTATTCCGTGAAGCTATTAAAATACAAATTACAAAAAGAATGAAAGCAACAACGTCGTTTTCCAATCTCAAGTTTCAATTAGATTTGCAAAGAGCTGTGAACTTTATGAAAGAAAAATAAAGATATGATACAAATAGAAAGAAAAGGAATCATTAAAGATTAAGGAATAAAAGAGAGAGTTAAGAAATAGTAAAATTCATTTCAATTACTTTTCTCAATTCGTAATAATTAAAACAAGTGGTACAATCAGTCTTAATATATATAAAATTTATTTCATTCTTTAATTACTATTAGGGAGTTAATATAACTATATATAATATTTAAATAATAATTAACTACTATAATTAAAATGACTAATGATAATTAAAGAGTTACAATAAATTATAACAATATTTTGTTCTCATACTTAAAACAAATATTAGCCTCTATCGAAGTCAAATTCATCTAAGTTACTAATTTTACAGATTATCTATAAATTCTAAACAAAATTATCTACACTTCCATAATGGTGTCACGAGGGTGCAAAGACTTAATAAAATTAGCACAAACTTGCATAAAATATTACATGTAGAAATTCCATGTTTCCAAACTTAGAATAAGAACCAATTTATTAAAATAATATTTTCAGTAAATTTGTCAATATTAATTAAAACCATAAATACTCTCACGAAGATCGTAAATCACGATCGGTGGAACCATTGAAATACGAATGGTAAAAAGAAGGAAAAGAAGAATCTCGATTTGAAGTTGCAATCAGCTCGCGTGTTTCCACATTCACATAAAATCTGCTTACGTCGGTACACCTAAGTTGACGGGTATGATGCATCACTATGAAGTAATTGGACGCAGTAATTCCATCTTCATAGGAAGCACAGTGCCTCAAGCGATATCGATAACCGACGTAAGTTCGACAAGCTAATTGATCGGCTAGTAAATCATCTTTGATTCAATGTAGATCATCAGCAACAAAGTAAAATGGACATTCCAGTGTAAAATTCGTAGTTGTATTGTACATAGGAACAGGTTGGTCAGGATTGGCTGGCTAACGTTATTTATGACGTTCCTGTTTCGGAGCCAATAATTGACTACTCAACCCTCGAACCACTGGTATCACGAAATTGTCGCATGATTGAGATATTTGGAAATTTTGTCGAGTCAATTTAGCAATTTTTGACAAACAGAATTTATTAAGAAGAAGTAACTACTTATATTTCATATAAATATTCAATTTAGGTAAATTGTCTTTCAAAGTCTACAGATATATTTAAAATTAAGGAAAAATGGTTATCACTGGTTCTAATTAATTTGTATAGCAGTATGTAATAATAAAATAATTGATAATATAAAATTATTACGTATTTATGATGCTTGAAAATTTTATTGAACCTATTTAGCTTAGAGTGATATATACGATAGCTCCAAATAGTTAAAAATTTATTTTCTAAATAAATTTGTTTTGTCTACATGAAGTCTAGAATCAATTAAAGGTAATTAAAATTCATCAAATTCGAATTTTTGTAAATATTGGACTGGCTATTTATAGTCTACACGAGCAAATTGAAATATATTTTTCAATAGTGAGCAGTAAAAATGTTAAAATAATAAAAATAAGAATGAATAAGACACAAAATAAATATAAATTTTTAAAAGTGCATGTACTATTTGAAAAATATTATTAGAAGCTTCTACTATTATATTGTTCAGTATTAAATTAACATAATACAATTTTCGTATGTTATCTAATAATAAATTCATAAATTATTTTAAATTTTTAGGTTAATTTTATTGCCTTGTTTGACACTACGATTTTCAATTTCGATATTTGCTGTGGATGATTTCAAGGTGACACTGATATTTATTTTCGAAGACGACACGACAATTTCGAAACAAGTGTTGGTGAGAGCGATTTGTAATTTATCCGGTTTCAGGTCACACTCTCAAAGAGTTTCGAGGTTAGGAGCTACTTTTCAATTTTTGTCGCGGAAATGCCGACAAGAACGTCATTTCCTGACATAAATTAAGCTTGAAATCTTACTTATTGCGCTGTAGATATCGATGGAATAGTCTGAAAGCTACGATTCGAAAAAAGAAGGTATTCACGACGTCATATTTGCTGCTAGATGGCGCCGCAAACTGTTATGGCGCATTACTGCTCTATGCGTCTTCTGCTATACCAGAAAACAATGATGTCGCGTGATCAGCATCCATTACTATTTTATTCCGAAGTGATCGTACAGTTGTTTGTAAATACACGACCGTGGATATTTTATTATTAGTATTTTATCATGTTTTCATAAATATTTAATTTTTATCAATATTAAATATAATTTTATCGATATTTATATCAAGCAACAAGAGAATTGTCGATATTTCTACAAATTGTACACGAATTGATGGATTTACCAACACAATAGGATTTATTTTTCGAACCTTTTTCGTTAAAAGAAATATTTTTTAACTTTTTAAATATATTAGTATATATAATGACTTTTTCTCCCAATCGAAACTTTATTTTATATTTTTATATTCTCTAATATACATTAATATGAAGTAATAAACAAGTTGTCAAATCGAACCTTCTATTTTTGTGGTTTATATGTTTTAAATAACGTGTATAAATTGTACATTTATACATTATTAAATATCAATTCAGTTTTTAAAAGCACATAAATTTTTTAATAACAATTTTCATTCCCCTGTTCTCTAAGACTTCAGAAATTATAATATCGAATAAATATTCTAAGACAAAGAAGTCTAAATATAACATATGAATATGTTTAAACATAAATAGTTTCTTGAATAGTTATCAATGGTTGTGTGTACAAATATATCAAATTTTATTTTAATCAATTATTCCATTTTGTCTATTCCTATAAATTAATTTATCCTTCTTTTGAAATATGTGAACTTTAAAAAATTGTATCAATTTTTATTTACTTGCTTGCGCTAAATACACATATAATACATACAAGAGTATTTAAAATTATTTTCCACAATTCCATATTGTGCTGTATCTGCCTCAAATTTAATAGTAAGCCATTAATCATTCAAAATTACTATTTCAAATCCAAATTCGACGTGTATATTACAAATCACGGAATCAAAAATTCCAGTTACCCAAAATATATTACTCTTTAATAAATTTTCCCCAATTTCAAGTCAGTCCGCAATTCGCTCACAATCCTTGACCCTTTCACGAGAAAGCGTTGCGGTAGCCCTAAGACGAATTTCCATTTAACTCACTAGCGCCACCACGGCTCATATCTACAGTAAACGTTTACCGCAAGTATCGCATATATCGTTGACTTATTTTCTAATTTTACTCGTATTATCTTCGAACCTTTTTCTGTTACGTGTATTATTGCTTGTACAATATTGTTTTCACAAATTTTCTAACCATTCACGTACAACCGTACTCGAAAATGAGTTAATATAAATCAAAGGCAAATAACCATAGTGTTAGAATAAAAATAAATATATCTGGAATCAAAAGTTACGAAGAAAATGTCAAAAAATATGCCATTTGCTTTCAAATATACGATTTCAGGCTGGCGAAGAAATCTTTCACACGCTTCCAAATACTTGGAGAACTCGTTGCGATGCAAGTGAAAACACATCAAAGTTTGCTAGAAGGCGAACCAACCAACGTGCAGAGGAACTTATCAGACTACTTTCTGCCTCGTGCCACCGCGTACACATAAAACTTGTATAATTGTACGTTGCACGGCTTGCTCGCATGTTAAAAACAGGATCATGATTAAGGGACGAAGAGCAATGAATTCTTGTAACGATGGAATACACGTGAAATTCTTTATCGGCCAGTGATTCCAAGTGGTAACGATGATTACCTGGCTGAATCCGAATGGTAATTCGAGTGAAATACGAACATTTCCACGCTGAATCACCGCTACGGCTAGAATTAACGATTCAAGGAAAGCTAAATGAGTGCAGGTACCAACGCTTGGCAATTACTCCTGGTTTCAAATTGACATGTGAAAATGGCATGGAAATTGCTCAACGCTAATTTCCCTACGTCGTTCGCCTTGTTTTTTCAACCGAGCTTCCTTGTTTGTTACATAACGGGAGACGTTCCATGAGACATGGCGCTTTTTATTTATAGAAATTCGACGCTTAGTTCCCCGATGGTTGTGTTAGAGGAATGGGGTGATATGTGTGAAAAATGGGGAAGGATTGATATTCCTCTTAGTAATTGCGCGTGAGAAAATGATAGCGTTGAAGGAATGAGGTAATATGTGTGAAAAAATGTGAAAGACTGGTAAATCTTCTTTTATTAATTGCGTGTGAGAAAATGCTAAGGTACGGGGACCGAAGTGTAGAAAATAAAAGTAGGTAAGGTATCATATATGTAATTTAGACTATAATATGAAGTTGGTAATTTAGAAAAGTGGATCCAAATTATATCGTTATCAGAAAAATGTTCATATTAAGAGCTTTGATTGATAGCTTCTTATAAGAACATACTTTTGTAAACAATATTAACGTAGAATAAAATATATAAAAATCAGAATAATGAAACTCGATTGCAAGTTACTGTAAAATATATTAATAATTCTGGATACTTCCTTAAACAAAACTGATTTTGAATGTACAATTAAATATAAGAATAATAAAACTGAACAGTGAAATTAAGTTGTGACAATATTAGGAAAATATAATATTGTAATAATAAAATATAATATAGAATATTAATTTTAAAATCAGAATATGACCAGTGGAAGTAAATTTTGACATTATCAGAAAAAT